CTATGGATAACCCATTAATAATAGCTACTAATATTGTTAAAGTTATCCTAGTTTTTAGGAGTTGCAATACCAAATATGAGATTGGCCTTTAGCAGTTGCGATATGAATCTAGGTTAGCCCAATTTGGAGTTAAGGTGGTACATGTTGCTCTAGCGGTGTGGTGTAGCCCACCATCTAGTGTGAATGGCCCATTGTTCAAAGCTTTCCCCTTTCTCGATTAGTATCTATTACAAACACCTCTTATTCCCCATAAACTATTATGGCTAGATCCTCTAGGATTTTGGCACCCTCTTTGAAGGATAGTTTCGCCTAAAATTAAGGGGTTAGTACATTTTTCATCTTGTTTTCCCTAATTGGAAATTACCATCTCCTTATACAATTCAGTTGCAGCTGTTATAATTTCCTACTATTTCTTCTTTTGATGGTTCCATCTCTTTTGACAACATCAAATCACGCAGCCTCTTGGATATATGGTCCACCTAAATACTTCCGGTGTCTATGTTATTCTCATATGGTTCCTTGAATACTCATCAACTCCTCTCGAGCTTGGGCATGACTTGAAGATTTCAACATATGGAGGTTGTCCTCTACCTAGGGACTAAGCAAATATTATTTGTTCATGCGAGTAAGCATCTTTTCTAACTTTACTCTTCTATCCTTCTATAGGTATAGAAGGGGAGCGGGTGTTTGTTTGGACAGCTCTTGACCTAGATTACCTATGACAATAATATGGAACCCTACAACAAAAGTTAATGCTATGATACCAACCATGAGCCAAAAACTTCGATATAGCAATGCAATTGTATTTTGATATCAAAATGATTTAAGAATAATGGTGCAAAAAACAATCAAAACTAGTAGTATTTGTATGAATATGGGGTTATTACGCAAAAAATATGAAGCTAAAGCTAGGGATTTTGAAATTAGTGCTTCTAGAATGTACCTTACATGTACAAACAAGGCCATGCAAGGTCAAGGGAGAGACATAACAAAAATCAATGATTTCTTTTGACCTACATGAATGCAAAAACAAAACAAAAACCCCACCAAAATCTCGCTTACCCGTTGTTCGACGCCGACGCCATCACCTCTGCACGATCTCTGTACAAATCCCACTCAAATCAATGTCTCACCCGTCGTGCTCCACTCGTCCTCTTCGCACGACCCTCATGATCTCCACTTTGCCTCGTCGTTAAAATGAGGAAGAAACGAGGCTTCTGGCTTCTACTTCCACACTCATTTCTCTCTACCAAACTCCATACCCAAGCCCTCCATCCCTCTGCAAGCCGAACTTGCCGCACCAAACTCTAACTTGAAGCCTCCCGTTGACCCAGGTTCCGCTGATCCTATTGATGTGTCAATTCCTCGCAAGAGCCGAACCTCCACTTCAATCCAGTCTCCCACACTAATTCAATCCCTACGGTCTAACCACCCTCCTCATTCCTCCATTCGTACAATCTCACATCTCAAACTGAGCCCGGCATCTAGCTTCGACCTCCGGCTCCCTGCATGCACGTCCGACCTCTCAGTTCATCGACTCCTCCCTTCTACTTGCCCGACATCCACCTCGCCTTGATCCAGCCGAACACCCAACTGAATTTCACTCACCAAAGCAAGTCAATCTTCTCCGTTGCACCGACTTCCACACCACAATAGTCGGAGTCGCTCAATTCAACGCAAGCCCCTGTCCGACCTACTTACCTCTACCGATTGAATCCCACTGTGTCGTCCGATCCCTATACCCGTTCGCACCTTCTACAACCAAAACACCCAACCGCCAAACTGCAAGTCCTCAAGAAACAAACCCACGATCAAACTTCCCTACCTGCCTCCCTCTGTCTAATCAAGAAAGCCACACTCAACTGAACCCCCAAATCTCGTCAACTTGCTTGCACTCTTCGCGGCCTACAACCAAATCCATGCCCGATTACAATCCCCATTCCACCTTTACGTCAGTCGAGCCCTGACCTACCGTGCCAATCGACGCCTAGCACCCGTCACAAGCCAGCCATACATTACTCTTTAATGTTATTGTTGGCAATAATGTGTTTATTGCAAGAACATTAACTTCAGGGCAGGAACTAGTGTTTCCCATACATTACTCCTTAATGTTATTGTTGGCAATAATCTGCAAATGTTGCATGAAAATACACTGCCAAACAACACCACCGGATCCGTAACGCTGGTACAAGCAGACAAAAGGCGTTTGCAAATGCTAAAATGAAGTCTTGCACACTCTTTCAGTAATAGTCGTTTGCGCAATTAATTACAATTAAATATTAAAATGTTCCCCTCATGCATTAAAATATTATTATCCGCATAGGCTCCGACGAGCGTGTTACAGATACACACGTGACACCTGAGGATGTTACGCGGGTCAAAAGAATGAACTTAAGTTCAAGCCCGATCCTCTTATGCAAGCAGAAAGGAATCGACACGACTTGAACTATCAAACAAATATATGATCACGACATAGACCAGGATATTTGTTTTATACATTTGTATTATGCCTTCAAGGTCTATAATAAAGAAAATTCACTCATAAATGCATAAAGCGAATAACGAACCCGATCCTCTATCGTCAAATTGACAGAGTCGACAAGATTCGGCCAACAAAGTAAAATTATCCATAAGTAACCCTGATGATGGTCGTGTTGATAGAATATCTCAACCGGAGGGGACGACCAAATATTTAAAAATGCCTCCTAATTCTCATAAGATATATTCTATGACATTAATGTTTAAAATTGAAATTAACTACCAAACACTAGCAAAATATCAATCCACTCTCCGCAACAGTTTGCTGGGGTGAACAAATAAGAAAATCACTCCAGCTCATAAAGAGCAAATGTATGATTGAAAATATTACTAGGATTCATTCTCAATCTGTCTCTTGCTAGTAAGGACGAGGCACGTGTCCTCTAACCAATGATTTCACCGTCAAATGGCACCACAGGTAAACGGTTATGACCAGGACCCTCTAACCGGGTTGGTTTTGCCTCCAAATGGCGCCATTATATTAGGTCATGTAAGAGCTCGTATGTTCCCCAATGGCATTAAGTTATTGAGTAATGAATCAATAGTATATAATCGATAGAGTAGAAAGCTCTCTGTTAACTAAGGTGTATTCAAATTTATTCTCTTAGATAAATATTCATGGATGATGCAACTCATGGCTACCGACAAAGATCCTTATGTCAGGTTGGGTAGACTACCTCCTTTAACTAAGTAGACTAAGGATCATGATGATCTGGGATGATAATACTATAGGATCTTGATTGGGTCTATCATCGGTCCCCCCACCACCCGCTTTAAGAACTAGGTGGTGAATTTTTAATTTTAAATATTAAATTTTCAAATACCAAATCATGTTGCTACTATACGCCAGCTACTACGTATCTGTTTGACAACTAACCTTAATCAAAAGTTCTCTTGCTATCGGGAGGGATAATTAACTATAGGGACTTGCACGCTTATAGGAAACCTGAACCCAAATCATAAAGTCCTCACAAAATGAGGGCAAAATCTCTGTGTAGTGTCTTATGTAAAACCCAATATGCCTTATGAAATTTTGACTCAAAACGTATTCGTTAAAACTCTCCTCGACAACCCGAAAAAAGAAGAAAGGGGAACCATGCAAGAAATAGAAAAATATAAATAAAATAAGCATAAATAGATTGCTACCATACAAGATGACTTCTTCCAACCCTAATTAAGGCTTTTTTTATTCAAACATTCTTCTCCTTCCTTATATGCTTGAGTGGAGAGAGAAAGATTCAAACCAATGGAGACTGGAAGAGAGAGTTTGGAAATTTACTTAAAACACACACACACACAATATGAGAATTCACCTTGATAACTATGCGCCATTGGAATTTGTGCTAAACCTCATGCGGGGTGATTTAGAGAATAAACATCATTTGAGAGTATTTTCCTAAGACATCAAACGAATGAGATAGAAAGAACTGGTTACAAGGAGAGAAAATATTGTTAATTTTAAAAAACAAACTTTAAATGGAAATGAAATGATCGTAAACTTAATGTATAAAACAACATAAAACATGGGTAGTTATCAAAAATAAGATAAGCAAAAATAATAGGATCATGATACACTATCAAATAAGATATTCCCCTTATCCTGATAGCTTCTTTATATTTATTTGATAACTTATAAACAATTTATGTATAATTACTAGCTAAAATTCATGAAGAGACGTGAATTTTGAATGCATAAAACAGCCTAACACATAGGTATTTATCACTTAAGCTACAAACAATATTAAGTTATTTTCGAAGGTTTAATAGAGGCAGGCTTTGGATAATGGGAGACAGCATATGGTGATTACTTGAATGAATGATAAATATTTATGGAAAATAGAATTTCACAGATGACGATCCTCAAACCTTCATTTGGTTGAACCTAATCTAATTTAGGTTAGCCTCTTCGTTATGCATCCATCTATGGGTCTTAACTAGCTGATTAGCTGGGGTCACTATTAATTGAGCCTCCTGGATCAGTATGAAGCTTTTCCCTACCAACCCATTGTCGTAGATGCAAGAAACCAACCCCCAAACCTCCCACAAACCCACCCACCTACACGCACTCCAATCGCACTCCGTTCCCTTGCCTTTCTCTCTTATCAATTTGGTGAAAATGGGAGTTGAAAGAACAATCCAACCCCCATTTTCAACCTTTTGAAATGTTTGTTGAAAGTTAAAGGTGATTTCATCAATAAATACTAGTCAACACACTCTAACGTAATAATGATAAAAAGGACCTGGCAGGTAATTATCAAAAAAATGAGAAATCTAATTTATATTTAAAGAAGGATTCATGAAGATGGCTATAAATAATTAATATAAAGCAATTTGTTGATAATGAAAAATCTAGTTGTGTGATTTCAAAGCAACAGCGAATTATCTGCACATATGGAAAATATGATTGATTTATCTGCAACTTATCCAAAATAAAATAATGGTGATAAGTCTATAAACCTTACCTTTTCTGCAACGGCAAAAGCGGCTTGTTCAGGATTCATGTCATGGAATGGGATTAATGCCGTCATTAACTCCCAAAGGACAATGCCAAAACTATAAACATCAACCTTCCTTGTGTGATGTTTTTCCTTGATCATTTCTGGTGCCATCCACCTGTAAGTGCTTGTAAAGCCCTTGCCACTGCCACATTGAAACTCTTGGCAGGAGATACCAAAATCTGCAACCATAACGGATAAGTCTTGCCCCAGTAGTATATTTTCTGACTTGAGATCTCTATGAAGTATTCCTTGAGAATGAAGGTAATCCATTCCTCGTGCAATCTCAAGAGCTAACTTTAAAACAAGCTTTAGAGGAAGAGAGTAGGGTGTCTGCTTGTGGAGAAATTTTCTAAGTGAACCACCAGCCATGTACTCTGTGATGATACAGAAAACTGGAGGTTTCTTGCATGCTGCAACAAACTACATGACAAAAGCATAAGCTAAAAAGGAATTATTATCAAAACACGCTATTAGATTTTGAGCATATAATGACAGCTGTAAAATCGACAGTTTGTTACATCAAAATATGAAATAATATCAAAATTAGCAGGTTGAGGATGGAAGTTCAATACTTCCTGCAAAAACAGCAACTTTTCAAACTATCAGACATCAGATAAGACCTAGTTCAATCCACATGTTAATAATAGTATTAAAAAAATCAGAGGTGGTCCAATCCTGATGTGAAAACTTCTGTATCAAGAAAATCATACCGTAAGAACTTCACTAGGAAGTTCTGAACTTTTGGAACCTCAAACCTGGGCATATGGCTTGACGAGAAAGTTTAAAGAATATAAGACACAAAAAGGGATTGGATACAACGTAATCATAAAGTTTTTACAGAATAAATGCAAAAAGATTTAAAAGAATTGGAAGACTCGGCTGTGATAAAAAGAAATGATTCATGAAATTTTGTGTACATTATGGAAATAAATAGGGAATATTTTATCCCAAGGAAAAAAAGTAAAATCTGTATATTTTAGTCACTTGAAGCTTATCCCAAAAAAACTCAGTTAATAGGAATATATAAATAGCTCTTGTTTGGACAACTCTTGAGAATACTCGCACATGCTTTTCAGATATTTGATAGGTGGTCAATGGGTTGTAGCAGATGAACTCGTACCTCGTGAACCTACACAGGGAACTTACCCAAGGGTTGCCAACACGTATGCCGACAGAATACCCAGAGGAGAGTCACCCTTCACAAAAACAGTTAAGAGCTTTCGCAGACTACTCAACTTGTCACTCAACCTTCACATGAACCTGCCACCAAAGCCACTCGTCACTATCTCTAATGAAGCGTGGCCAATCATGCTCTCCATCTCCACTATAGGAAAGCATCTAATCAAGAGGATTCCAACTCGGCCCATTCAGCTCACTAAGGAGCCTATCGTCCCCACAACTTAAGCATGCTCATATCCCACTCTGAACCAATGTGGTACTCCAGCAAACGTCGTTAATGGCTTTGGAATGCTCTCTAATCGCAACCCTCTCGACTTAGCACTTGCTAGCAGACTCGCCCTTACGTATTTAACATTATAAAACTTTCCCTGAGACAAAAAAAAAAATAGGATTAAGAGAGGAAAGCATTCCATCAAGTTAATCAGGGTGCGAAACATGTCCACGTTGGTCTATACTAAAAGGCATTAACTTTATATATAACATTTTTTGTAACCCTGCAATCCCTATAAATAACAGGTTAATTGGATCTTTTGGGCATTTTACTATAGATATGCGGGCTATAAGATTATTTCCAACATAGTTTACCCTCTTTCTTTCTCGCTCCCTCCCTTCTCTCATAGGTTCTCAGGTTATACCTTTAAAGCTCACTGCTACTAAGGTCGGGTATAAGCCATGGACTAATTTGGATCTAACATCTTGACCTATATTACCTATAATAAGTATATGGAATCCCACAAGAGAAACTAATGGTTTGATACCAATCCTGAGCCAAAAACTTTGATATCGCAATGCAACTATATTTGATACCATACTGTTCTAGGAATGGTGGTGCAAAAGACAATGAAACTAGTAAGATTCGTATGTGCCTTAGGGCTGTTATAAAAAGAATATGAAGCCAAAGATAGGGATTTGTATGTACCCTAGGTTTGTTATGCAAACAAATAAAATCTGTACGTTTTAGTTACCTGAAGCTTATCCAAAAATATTCAAGTAGGCCTCTGCAAGTTTGAAATTGATGAAACAGAGAATCAACCATCTCATAAGGTAAGCACTGTGCAGTTACAACTGAACTTCAGCTTTTTAGGATTCTCCAAATTTTAATTACAAAAGGATATCACATAGAACTAGAAAAGGAAACAAAGTAGCAGGAAGATGTTTTACTAACCACCCCAGAGTGACACTGAAATTTATGATTCAAACTGCATCAATAATCACATGTATAACAAGCCAACTGGTTCAGCTCCATGATGCCAAGAACATCTTTCTTCCTTGAGAAAAAAAATTTAACGTTCCATTTGCATTTATGCAAAATATAGCAACCAGGACTCGTTTAAATGATTATGAAAGCAAATTAACATGATTGTGAAGCAACATTGCCACTTCACGGCATAAATCACCTACAAGTCACTTGTAGATTTCAAGCCAAGGACCAAGCAACATAAATAGAACTTGAAGCAGCATCTTTTCAACACAAGCATGGCACAATTCTTTGCATCAAAATCGACATAAAAAATTATCGCAGGAAGAGAGAATTTAAAAGTGTACCGTTATTATATTAGGATGCCGGAGTCGAAACAGCAATGCGACCTCCAAGTTGAACTGTTGCTCAAGTGCAGCAGCCAAGGTTTTGTCCTCCTCCGGTTGGCTGATCAGCTTGACGGCCACCTCTCTTTGCTTGTATATCCCATGGTAAACCCTGCTGTGTCGCCCCGCCGCAAATTTGTTCCCAATAAGAAGTTGCGACATGTCGGCGCTCCATTCATCCTCTCCCCCGCCCTTTATCTCCCCGCCAAAGGACTCCAAGTACTTGGACCAAGATGGTGCCTTTCGGTATTCCCGGAGAGAGAGCCTCCTCTCAGGAATGCGGCAAAGACTGACGCTCCAACTCCGCCGAAAACAGTTGAAGTTCTTCATACCATGAACGCTAACTCCAACAAATGTTACATCCAAGAAAATAAAGCGAAATAACGTAATATTCCAAAGCTTGCAGAGCCAAATATGGACTTAATCCTCCAGCATTTCAAAAATGTAGCAAATCACGGCACACGACAACTAGGGTATCGAATGCCTCTGCGGAGAACTAGATCGGAGCTCCGCCAGCTTCGATAATAGGAAACTTATCAAGCAGCTCGCAGTAAATACGTCAAGGCTCGAGGGGAGATCCTCATCTGTCTCCCAGGCTCTGGTCGAGCTAAAGCGAAGAAGAAAGAGAGGAAGGAAAAAGAAAATGCTCGCCAGAGATGGCAAGAACAATCATCTTTAGGAAATCATCCGAGAAAGGAGATTCAGGGATTCGAACTACGGTGAAGTTAACGAGGGGTGGCGACAGACAAAGAGCAGCTGGATGGCGGGGGTGGCGGTGGCGGTTTCTTGAGGAACGTGTGATTATGCCCGTTTCGGGAGACAACAGGATATGCTCCTGAGTGAGACTTTTTCTAATCTCCCGCAATTGCCCCTACGTATCTGCTTTTTTCTCTGAAATGGGTTCTGCGCTCTGATTGGCAAACTATCGTCAGTTCTTATATTATTATTGGTACAGGTGTTTTTATTTGTTATTATTTCTTAGGTATCATTATCCAATTATGATCTTCTCCGTCATCATCTCCCTATCACTATTGCCTAATTATAATTTCTTTATTATTGACACTCAACTATGAGCTTGTAACCATCATCGTCTAACCATAATATCATAACCATCATCATTCAGCTATAATCTCCCAACCATTATCTTTCAACTATGATCTTCATATCAATATCGTCCAGCTACATCGATATACGTTAATTTCATCACATGTCATCACCAATTGAGTTATTGTATGTCATGTCATCACATATAAGATTGATGTTTGCATTGACACATTCATTTAGCCACAAACTTTATTAGTCATCATCATTAACAACGTCGATATGCACAATCGCTTATAAGGCTGGTGCATGCAACTAAAACAAGTGTCAATTTCATCGGTCATCATCACCAATAATTTCATGCATATCATTGCATTTAAGGTTGGCATACACCTCATTGACACAAATAATAACTCCCACTAAATTTGTCGTATCCATCATTGCCAACAGTGTCAACATGTACCATCATCTATAAGGCTAATGCATGTCGTTGATATAAATGTCAATACTCACTGACTTCATTGTCTAATATCACCAACTGCATTGATGCATGCCATCACTATAAAGCTTTTTTTTTATCACTATAAAGCTTATGTATGCCTTCGACGCCAGTGTTGATACCCACCAAATTCATCGTCTTTTGACTTCGCTGCTCACCATTGTCCACAACAATAATGCACGTCATCATCCATAAGGTTGACGTATGCCAGCAACACCACAGCCAATGCATGCGAACTCTGACTCTCAACATCAACTTTAAGACTCATATTGAACTTCTTAATCTTTGATCCACTCTCTTGAAAGGAGAATAAATGAACATATCATAAATTGTATCGTAAAACTAGATCCAATGTCTCGAAGCTCTTACAACTACTACCGAAACAATTTTCTATAGCTATTGTCTACTATATTGTATTAGTATCATCTCCCATTATAAAGAATGACATCAAATGTATGACATACACTTGTGAATTCATTTCAACTAAATCAGACCTTTTTTTTTCTCTCTTTTTTATTAATCACATAAAAATCATAATTTCTCTTACAAATTATTTTTTATTAATTTGTATAATCTATCTTCATACAAAATTAAAGCGTAAAATTTCTGAGTAATACTTAATCAATTACAATAAAAGCATTCATATTGCTTATTTATACCAAATCATTATAATCTCCAATAAAGAATTTATATTATAATAGAGTTAGTTTTATTTTGATATAAAATTAAAGAAACTATTATTAGACTCACTACAATAATTTGATTAATAATATGCATGTACTAAATGCACAAAGTTATAGACAAATTTTTTTATCTAATTTTATAAAACTCATTTAATTAAATGCTAGTTTTTTAGACATCCTTTATTAATTAGTTATGCCCATGTTTTCTAAAGTTCCTCCTAAATCACTCTTATTCACACATTTGAAGAATAATCTTTGGACAACTTTTTCTTTATTAAAGCAATGGACTTTTGATGAAGCTTATTTTAACAATCACTAGCTTAGTTAGGGTCATGAAAAGTGTAAGATATTCCCAATATGTCTAGCAATTATTTGGTCCTAATCTATGAATATTATTATTACATGATTGCCACCAACCATTTTTATAAATATTTTAAAAATACATATAGATGTCTCCATCTGAATAAAGCTATTTGCATCTTTATTTTTAAGTTCAATATTTTCTATCCTACTAATAGTGATATAGATTTCTCTATGAGCACTTAATAGATGCAAGAATTTTTTACTTTGTGAGTTCAATATTATATTTAAACTTTTCAATTACTATTATAATCTATATTAAATTATTGGACATCCTATTCTAATATTTACTATATGAAACTTCATTTCGTAAGGTGATCTCACCCTATCATTCTTGATCCTAGCTAGTTTTTTAGCATAAATAAAATTTTTCATTTTATTTTTCTTAAATTTAGCCAATAAGAAATATGATCCTTCCATATATTAAAATTAATTGGTGTGCACGATTAAAATATATTTCAAAAGCTTATGTCTCATTGAAAATAATTTTATTCAAATATTTGATTAACTCTGTGTTAATATACAAATCTATTTCATAAATGCTTCCTTTAGCTCTGAAAATTTTTACTTAGCTCTTAGGTTAATTTAGCTAAATAAAAATAGGTTAACATAATGAAAATAGTTAAATTTAGTTTTCAAGTTTGTACGTAAATGAAGTTGAGTTTATAGGACTGTACGTACACACCTATGTACAACATGAAAAATAGAAGAAATTGCATTAAAACATTTATACACTAGTGTGTACAATAATGAAATTGAGTTTACGGGATTTTAGACACCTTTATATAGTTAAAACAACTGATAATAATTCCTTAAAACATGTATACATAGCTATGTATAAACTAGAGTTTATATTGTTGTACACATTTGTTTCTTGCATCAAGGTTAAAAGAATTTGTCATATTACACATATAACCTTGAAATTAAGTTTAGAAGATTGTACACACCTATGGACAACATTAAATTTTGAAAAGCATGCATGCCTCAAAATAACTATAGATGGGTTTGTATAGATCTAAAATTTAAGTTTACAAAGTGATAAACATTTATGTGTAGTGCAAAAATGAAAATATATGCTCTAGAACATCTGCACGCATATGTTTACGATCTTAAAATTGAGTATCTAATCATAAACACATTGTGTACATTTTGAATGACAAAAGAACTTGCCCTGAAATAATTGTACATAGGTGTGTAATGTCCTAAAATTATGCTCATAGTGATTTATATGTGAACATCACAAAATTAGAAGAATTAGCTAAAAACTAATTGTACATAAATTTGTATAATAGTACAAATGAGTTTATGGAGTTATACATTTTTGTATATAACATTCAAAAAAGGAAACAAAATGCACTAAAATAAGTTCAGATAAGTCTCTACAAATATTAAATTAATTTTATAAGGTCATAGACTTTTAAGTACATCACAAAAATGAAAGAACATTCATCTTAGTAGGTGCAAATAGATCTATATAGCATTAAAATAGAGTTTATAGTTTTAAGATGAAAGAACTTGCCATAAAATAAAAGTACGCAAGTGTGTACAACCCTAAAGTTAGTTTAGAGAGTTATATATGACACTACAGGAAAATCTCTGCTTATCGGCAACATTTCAGGTGGAATTTCATCTGCCAGTAGAAGCAGCGGGTTAACCGGAGGATATTCCGTCAGCAACTTAGCGCCGGATTTTTCAACGGATAGACCGCCGGAAATTTACCAGTAGAAAAATCGCTGGCAAAACCGTCAATTTTTGTAAAGCCAGCTATTACTTCCAGCGAACACCAGAAATGATCGGCAGAAAATATGCCGACTTACTTAAACCTGGCAAAATATTATCAGCTGAAATTCCGTCAGAAAGGGTTTAGGCAGAAAAGCCATTGGAAATACCGCCGGAGACAGCCCTGTTTCCCTTTCTGCGGTCATGCTCTTCTTATTTCACTCTTACTCACTCTCACTCAGTCAATCGCCAATGTTCAACTCGGTTGCCAAACGGTGCCTCCATCGCCGACGTGTTCAGCTCTCTGTCACTGACATTCGACGCTGCCATCGCCTTCCTGTAGATCGATCCGTCTCCGATGTTCCCCACTCAGTTGCCAGAAATCCATTGTAAGTTGCCCATTTTGTCTTTCTTTGGTCATGGATGTTCTCGATAGACATTTGCTAGTTATTGTATTGTGGTGTATGCATTTTGAATGCGGCACATGTCTAAGACAATCTGTACAAAGGGCCTTTTTAGTTAATATATTGTTTATTTCTCCATTCTTCTGTAATATAGCTCTTGGATTTCGATCAATAAGGAGCAGAAATGAAATTTTTGGATCTTCTCATCTTTGAAATTTTACATCTTTTGATTGAGTGAGATTTTGAGCCCCTTAGTATCTTTTAATAGATTTTTCAAGCAAACTACTTTCTCTCCATTATCACACAAAATTAGGGACATCTCTCTAATTTTGTTATAAATAAAGTCGAAAGTCATTTACGAACACATTTGAACCCAACATATATATATATATATATATATATATATATGTATGTGTGTGTGTGTTTTTCAATCAATAAGGAGTGAAAACACTCACAATTAAAATCAAAAATTGAATTTCTATTGCTATAGAAACATATATACAACCCAAATGATTGAAAAAATTACCCTAAAATACTAATATACATTTGCATATATATCTCTAAAATTAGTTTTATAAATTTGAACACCTATATATATATATATATGCATTGCTTTAAATTTTGTGCAGGTTTAAATTAAATTTTTTAAGACCCCAATTATGGCTCAATTTAACTTGATGAATATTGTTGTTTATGATTCTTTTCCAAGAATAAAAGTAACACAAATATAAAGCTTCTAATTATCAGCCATTAATACATACCCTTTCAAAAAGCATTCGAAAATGCTTAAGCACTTTTTCAAATTATTTTGATTATAGTCAGTATTAGGAGTGTCAATATTTGATCTGATCCGAAAATTTCGGGTTCGGGTTAGGAATTTCGACCCGTTTGTAAAATCGAGCTGGTTCGGGTTGACCCGGAAACCCGAAATCAACCCGATTTGACCCGTTTTTAATTAATTTAGGAGGATTTTAATGGATTTTTAGGAAATAAGTAAATGATATTTCTAAAAATTATAAATATTATTGGCCAAATTAAATTAATCTTGATTTATTTTAAATTAATTGAATTAAATCT